TTTTAAAAGTATACTTTTAGTCATAGCACTTCGGCCCCATTGTATTTAGAGTTGTATATCTTTTACTGGTTGATATACTGAGTTCACTATAAACAATGCTCTGATACCAATCTGTCATACCCCCAAACCGGAATGACGGAAACGTTCGGGGGCGGAGGACGTCATGTATAGTATCACAACAATTGAATAATAGTAATCAAAGCAACAACAACCATTGTATTAATAGTATAATGTTTACATTGCATTCAAAATATATAACACTGACTCCCAAAAGTAAATAACAAATAAAGACTCGAAGCTACTATGCTCCATCCTCTTGAACCCGGTGCATGTACCTGTCTACTAGTGTCCTGAGAATACAAGTAGGTTTAGAAAGAGTATTAGCATTTAAGCTGGTGAGTTCATACGCGTTTTGTTTTAGAAAACAGGTTATGTGATCTTTGAAAAGTGCGTTATGTTTCTCCATAAAACCTTATATTTTTAGATGTAATGAATGTTAAGAAAAATGATTCGTACCAGCTCCTTCTGCGAGTACTTAGTGTATACAAATCATATACAATCCAGATCGAACAAACAATCGATTGTGTGGTTCTGCCCCAAGCCCACAACCAAACAAGGAACAGGAAATGAGACGGAAGCCACACATTCCACTGGTTATTAGATCCTCATGTACAAAACCCTGAAGTATTCACTAGGTACCTACAAGTTGACTGTATTGGTCCTTTTGAAATTTGTTGAAAGTGTTTCTCAAGAAAATCTAATATTTTTTTAATAAAAGTATGATAATACCAGTTCCTTCTATAACCTTTTATCTCATACTAGCTATGTATAAACCAATATCGAACAGACAGTTAATTGTATGGATCTGCCCTAAGTCCACAACCAAACAAGGAACAGGAAATGGGGAGGAAACCACACATTCCATAGTCTATCGGATATTCTTCATACGTAACTTGGATGTATAAACTAAGGGATTATAGAATTAACAATGAATATTTGATGGTTGAATGATCAACTGATTGTTTGTAAAGTACTGATGTTTGTCCTGGAAAATCCTATTTTTTCCCTAAGTGTGAGTTGTTGTCTTAACTGTTCCAAAAACAGAAAAGTACAAGTATTTTCCATACTTATGTTGTTAAAGCATTGTTCTGTTTGAAAACCCTGGCTACCACCAGTAATGTATAGTAGTTTTATTACTTAAAATCAAGCTAGTCGAAAATGTATTGTTCTGTGTACTGAAAGTGTTGTTAATACTCTCTTGTGATCACTTAGTACATACGAGTTATATAAATCTCAATCGAATAGACAGTCGATTGGGTGATTCTGCCCTAAGCCGACAACCAAACAAGGAACTGGAAATGGGGTGGAAACCACACATCCCACTGCATGTCAGATATTGATTACATATCACCCTGATTTATATACTAAGTAATCACATAAATATTACCCCTGATGACTGTTTGTTAAGTATATTATTACGTGAACGAGTCGTTGTTTCCCAAGTGAGTTTTTATAACCATGTTAATGGGCGATAAACATTGCGACATACTTCGGACGTCGTAAACTGAAATGACGTTTGTCACCCCATGATGACTATAGCTAATAGTCGGGTGCGAGATTGTCACTCCCGTATAGATCTATACACAAACTCACGCTCTCCCTCCAGGAGACTCTGGTTCCTAAGGTCTAGACTTCCCAGAAGTCGTGTCTCACATTGTAGTTCTCTCAACGAATTCACGAATAATACTATGAAGAATCCCTTTTAGTTATGAACATATATTCTTGTAAAAACAGTGCCATTGTTCCTAGTTCATGAGTTTGTTTTCCTTGTTAGAAACCCGTGTTGTGCTTGCAAAGTTTGTATCTTACTTGTTTGTAAAATTATTCGTGAGTCTAGTAGTAACAACATTTGTCATGTTTAATAAGTTCTATGTTCAAATGTGTGTTAACGATAAGTAATATAATAAACCAAATTATATTTTTAAACACAAGCTTTCTTGTGTTTTACTTGCATTCCCCCCCCCCCCCCTTTAAAACATTAAAAAGATAGGAAAAATATGGGGGTATGAACTCACCTTATGTTGGAGATTCGATTAAATATATGTTATAGGATGATAAATTTAACGAGTGAAGTCCCGAAGCACAAACGAGTCCTAAATAACATATAACAATACATATAGGCATGAAATTAGTGAATCTAACCACAAAGGTGTTTAGCAAACAACCTAGGATGAAAGAGTAAATCACCAAAGGAGTGTTAGAAGCAAGTTAGGAGGCTGAAAGGGAGTTCATGGCTGGGCTTGATGTGTTCACGACCGTGAAGGGTTTACGACCCTTGAAGGTTTGAAGAGTTCATGGCCCTTTTGAAGGGTTCACGGCCCTTATGAAGGGTTCACAACCCAAAGAATGTGAAGAACACTTGGAGATCTAGTTGATTGGTGAGTGTTTGAAGGCTTTCATGGTATACCAAAGAGATGCAAAAGAAAATGAGTGTTTAAGGGAAGAAAAGGGTGTTCTTGAGTATGATACTTGAGAGAGAATGGGGTGGTTCACGGCCAAGAAANAAGGGTGTTCTTGAGTATGATACTTGAGAGAGAATGGGGTGGTTCACGGCCAAGAAAGAAGAAATGAAGGATAAATGACCAAAACACACACACACACACACATATATATATATATATATATATATATATATATATATATAAGGTGAGTTCACGGCCGTGAACATGGTTTTGCGGCCGTGAACCTCACTTGATGAGGTTTATGGCCCGAATGCAATACTCCTAACTTGTTTCCTTAGTGGTTCACTTCCTAACACACAACCTTGACTTATACTAGGCTTAGAAACCTATAAATTTGACCTTTGGTTGATGAGTTTTGACCTTACAAGATAGAAATTTTCGGGTTGTGACAATTACTGTAAGTAGCTCTCCTTCACATGTACCTTTAAGAATGAACCATCCAAACCTATTTAAATCTTATGAAAGTATGTGGTTTGATCCGTGTTAATAGTGACACTCACTTTGACGGTGCTATCAGAATTTGAGTGGATTAACTCGTGAGAGTAATCCCACACCCTAAAATAGTGGTTTGTGAGTTTACCTTGTATGAGGCTCATTGCCATATACCTTGATCTATCTGTAACACTTAGACCAAGACACTTCACAATGAAACTTGCTTTTATTTATTAACTGCATGCCCTTACATTTCAATTTTTGTTTTCTGATCAAATCCTTCACAAAGTATATTGCACTCAAAGTTAGGTTCATTAAATTTGCATTGTTGAATTTTCTAACACATTTGTGTTTGTCAACAATTTGTTTATACCTAAAAGGATATTTCTCGAGTCATCCAGGAAGCTTGAAGTCTATATGTACACTGAACTCTATCATTCTTTGTACCATGTCCAAAAACTAAGTGAACGTTGTTACACTTTACGAACCTTAAAATATAATCATTGTTTATAATATAATTTGTCAAGCAAATTTTCAATTAATGTGGTGATCGGTACCTTTTAAGACTTCATCTTATTCCATTTTACTGTTGGATTGTGTATGACCAAATGTACACCATCCTCATCTCCCAAATCACGCACATTAGCTCCTTATATATCATCAATTTCGTCCTCATAAACAAATTTCTTTTCCACTTCATCATACTCATCACCATCAGGTTCAATGTTAACGTCTTCATCTCAAAAACGGATAAGAAAACATCATTGCATCTCTCCTTAGCTTGTGCTTTGAAATCCTCTTCCAACTTGACATGTATTAGATCAACGCCAAACTTTTTCTTCTCGTATTCATCACAATAATAATATGTCTTGCTGGTTTCAGAAGATTCCTCCATAAATACCCATGCAAGTAAAAATATATGCCATACTTTTTACCAAAAAATCAGCTTACATGGATGGATAACGGTGTATGATTTACATTTTAGAGACGAGATATTTACACATTAAAACCCTAATTTCTCTTACCAACCCTCATTTTTACCTTCACATATGAAAACGCCTGTTAAAAACCCTAAGTTATTCACATTGCATGCCACACACGATGCCATACAAGCGTGTTACGGGTTGTCCATCGGGTAACCTTCTACTTTCCTAAAATTGATTAAATAACAAGTAATTTTGACTTAATTGCTAAAAAAGAAATATTAACGTTTAATTGAATATAAGTTTAAAATATAAGGATTAATAAAAATAGACAAAATTGCAAAAATGGTCCCCGTGGTATTCATTTTTTTGGGGTTTTCGTCCAAACCTCGATGTTTTTGGCTTCATGGTCCTTTTGACCATGTTTCTATGTGGAAAATGGTCCCCGTTAAACTTAAAATTACTAATATGCCCTTTTAAATTGTTTTTCTAATTTTCTTAAATATTTTATCCTTTATTTTAATATTACTGTAATAAAAAAATAAAGTGGGGCTCACCCTCTCTCTCTCTCTCTCTAATGCACGATCTGTGCTCATTTGACGTTCTTCTCTAATACTTCCCCTCATCAATCTTCTTCTCCAACGCAGCGTTGGATCCTTCATCGATTCATTTTTTCGCTAAAATCTCTCCAACGAAGTAATTTACCTCCATTCTCTCTGGCACCAAGGCCCTCCCTCAAGATCATTACCCTATACAAATCTACAGCCTGTCACTCCCACTCAATTCAAGAAACACAAGAAAATCCCCAAATTTAAACCCAGGAACCCCAAGAAGGTCGACAGTTTCTCCGACACCGAATGGTTGGTGAAACCTCTTCCCGAATCCCCTCAATTAAACTCAATTTTGATGGCCAAAATTGAAGCTAAAACCTAACCCACAACAAACAACTCTTTTACTAACACCGGAAGAACTAGAAAACCACAACTGGAACCAGGTCCAACAAAGGGCATTGAAGGTTGTGAAAGAATTTTATTCCAGAAATAGCGGTAGCGATGATGAAGACGACGATATGGATGAAATAGACAGTGATGTTAGTGAGAAAGAGTACGATTTCTTTTGAAAAATGTTTATCGATGATGAAGAATTGAAGGGTTATTATGGAAAGCATTGTGGTGATGGAGGTGAGTTTTCATGTCTGGTCTGTGGCGTAGTGAATGAGAAGCATCTGAAGAGGTTGAAAAAGTTTAAAGAATGTGTTGCTCTTGTTGAACATTCAATTTCCATTGCAAAAAGGAAGAAGATTAGATCACACAGAGCTTATGGCCGAGTTATCTGTAAATTTATTGGGTGAGATATCCATAGGCGTCCTTCTCAAATTGTTACAAAGCATAAGTCTTGTGAATTACAGGTATCCCATTACTGAAACTTTATTGAATTTGATTAAAAAGTTCATAATTTCTTGTATTTGCAGGGAAATGATGTTAATGGTGGTTGTAATTCGGCTTTTAACAAGATTATGGATGATGGGTTGTTGAATCCTGATGAAAAAGCTCATGTTTCAGAAACATGAATCTATGGTTTGTGATGAGTCTCTGGCAAAAGCAAACGTAGAAGAAGAAGATACATGATTATTTTTTGAGAGAGAGAGAGAGAGAGAGAGAGAGAGGTCCTATATTATTTGTTAATTGTTAAAATAAATAAATAAATATTAAATTTTAAAAAATGAAAGAAAAATGAAAAATAAATACCCAAAGGGTATTATAGTCATTTCAATTTTCGGAGGGACTATTTTCACATACAAACTAGTCTAAAAGGACCACGAATCCAAAAAAATTGTGGTTTGGACTAAAACCCCAAAAAAATGAATACCGCAGGGACCATTTTTGCAGTTTTGTCATAAAAATATTTACCCTTTTTAATGGAATAGAATCAAACTTGAAGTAAGCATACAAAAGAAATTGGAATCCGAATGGGGCCACTTGCAAAAGACTCATCGACCGCGATGCCGACATCATACTTCACTTTCCGCCGATCCAAAGTAAAATATCCCTCCGGCCAAATTTGACCGTGGTTGAGTGTCGGTCACTTCGTCTAAACTCCACGTCTTCATCGCCGCCGCTAAAAGTCAACATATATTCTCAAACTCAACTCCAGATCTATTTCACTGTAATGTGTAATGTGTAATTTGTGTATCCGAGTTTGAATTAGAGGCGATGGATTCGGTGTCGATCCGTGTTCCTTACAAAAACCTCAAGCATAATGCCGATGCGGAGGTTGAAATGATGAGTTTCCAGGAAGAAGCTGATCCACGGATCGAATCCGATAATTCGAATAGATTTTCTAATGGAAATGGCTCCAATTATTCCTCTTCTTCACCTCAAGGATTGCCGACGGAGAATTGTAGCTTGATTACGTTGATTTTGAGCTGTACGGTGGCTGCCGGAGTTCAATTTGGTTGGGCTTTGCAACTCTCGCTTCTTACGCCTTATATCCAGGTCTCTCTATTAATTTTAACATATTGACAGCAAGTTTTGGTGAATGTATGAATAGATGGATATATGTCTATGCGTTTATCTGCGTGTGTCCGCTGTCATCCATTGAAGCTTGTGCACTTAGGTTGAATATACGTATAGCGATTAGATTAGATCCCTGGTGATAATACCTTGCTTGTCGAGGGTTCTAATCCGCTTATCCCTTTCCTGATTGAGAAAGAACTGCCTGAATAAAGACTTGGTGATTGTAAACTTATTAGGCTATGTGGTGCATATTTGGTTTGATTTTTTATATGCTTAAACTACGGGTTTTGAGATAGTACATACTTAATATATCCGGGATTCATGATACCTTAGAGATGAGATTGGTTGGAAATTCCAATTCTGGGTACTTGAAATTTGAGTTAGGAAATAGAGGCTTGGTATAATGCTGTGGCTTTGCCCAACTGACCAAAAATACTCAAGATAGGACTACTTATCTATGCAGGTGACATACTGATGACATATGCAAGGCCATAACTATTACTGGAAATTAGGTGCATGCACACAGCATCACACACCTACACATAATGCCTTCCTCTCTCAGGAAAATCTAAGTGGTTGAGAGATCATAACTTGCTCTTATCTGTAACTTGTCATTTTTTGTGTACATGGAATGTAAGTCTTGAAGAGGAATCTCAATTGCATAGTGTAAGTTTGGGTGCTTTAAGCATGTTTCACGATGATGGTGGTTGATTAGAACTTACTTTCATATCTAATTTGAACTGAAAATGAATTTTCAGTCTCCTTCCTATACTTCCTAGCTGGGTAATTCTGCATGACTTTATGAAGGATTCGTATGAGAAGGTCATGTTGAACAGGAATAGAGCTAGTGCCTGATGCACCAAGGCTCCTAGGCTTTATGCAGGTTGGGGAGCATAATTGTTAATGGGGCACTTAGGCACTAAAAGTTTTTTTTAACAGATTGGATCATTGAACTGGCTAATGCCCATGATGTTGATGAATAGTAGCTTGGCCTCTAAGGTGCATGAGCCCTTTTGATGAATCATAAAATATTTTGTATTGCACCTTGTTATTTCAAATAAGACCTCTTTTGCAAATAGCATATCTGCTTAAAAAAAGATAAATAAGATTCAAGACTGTTAAACATTGTTTTAACTAATGTGATGATATGCACTTGAAAGAGGAAAGAAAAGACTGAACTAATATGGATATGCATATGCCTCTTATCCCTTCACTTGTTTTCACTTATTTCTTTTGGTGATCTTGTCAAATTTAGGTGCAAATGTGTAAGTTGTTCTTAATGTTAATGGTAGAGTAAGTAGTCAATATCAATTAAAAGTTAATGGAATGGCAGTGGGCTAATTGGTGTTGATATAAAAGTTGGTACGTTCTCAGTCCCAAACTTAACTCAATTATTCCCTTTTTGAGAATGTCTTAAACTGAATAAAAAGTTCCCTTTTTGGTAAAGTTTCAATGCATTGTGCAATTACTAGTATTAACTTTGATCCACAAAAATGGGTATATTACAACGTGAAACAACATATATCTGTTAACTGATATCATATCATATTAATATTGGTACATTAGCAAGACTTACCTTTGGGATAACTTTGTCTTTATCAGTTACAGGTCAAGTTAGTTTGTTATTTTGTTTTGGTGGTCAAACTTTTTATTGACTCCAACTTTTTGTTTGTTTCAGACACTTGGAATAGGGCATGCGTTCTCTTCATTTATCTGGCTTTGTGGGCCCATTACAGGTCTTGTGGTAAGTCAACATACCATTATGGTTGCACTTACATACTTTGATAACTGCTGCATATTAGGTAGAAATAGAATTAGTTACTTTCGTTATCTGTATTTCTTTTATTTTTCTGATATTTTAAGGCTAGAAAATCTTTTTTTATACATGCCCATTAGTTACAAATGGCCCTACTGGATCACATGCATGCATATGTTGACACTGATATGTTTTTTACTTTTTACTTCATCAGTATATAATAATATCTATGCAATCATTATATAAGTCACATGGTTCAATGAACAGGACACGTATCATCCTATGTCTCTCATAAGAGTAAATTACAAAATCACCCCTGATATCAATTGCATCTCTATGTTAGGGTACCAAACATTCTGCTGTTATAACGACTAAACAAACATTGTTTTTCTTCCTTCTTTTTTCTTGTTTTTTGTAAATTGATCTGAAATTATCATATGTTTTTTCAGGTTCAACCTTGTGTTGGTATTTGGAGTGATAGATGCACTTCTAAATATGGGAGAAGAAGGCCATTTATCTTAGTTGGATCTCTAATGATATCAATTGCTGTGAGCATTCACATGACATAAATATATTTTTTTAAGCAGTTTTATCTTACTATATTTTGTATCCACTGAACTACATTTTTCACTTTAGGTGATAACTATCGGGTTTTCTGCAGACATTGGATACTTGATTGGAGATACAAAGGAACATTGCAGGTTTCCACTTTCTTCTTTATAGTTTATATCTCTCATTATATTTCATAATAATTGATTGTATATAACATAATTACATAATGCAGTGTGTATAAAGGTACACGAACAAGAGCAGCTTTTGTTTTCATCATAGGTTTCTGGATGCTGGATCTTGCTAATAACACCGTTCAGGTAACAATTTATAAAAAAATTTCCTTTTTTTTTTTTTAAACTTGTGTTTTAAACCATTATTTTAAATGCAAAGTAACAATTTCAATAATTTCAGGGCCCTGCTCGAGCTCTCCTGGCTGATTTAGCAGGTATGTGTCAAGTTTTCTGAATTCCTCAATCTTAATAGACCAAAACCCTAAACCCAAATCTGTTAATAATTTCACCTTATGATGTTTATGTTATGTCTCTAGAAATGCTAATAATAATATTTATTCATTTATTTGATAGGCCCTGATCAGAGGAACTCAGCAAATGCTATATTTTGCTCATGGATGGCGATTGGAAACATCTTAGGGTTTCTATCTGGTTCTAGTGGAAATTGGCACAGGTAAATTATCCATTAACAACTATTGGAAGTCTTCTTATCAGAAAGTTTTATTTGAATTTTGTTCATTGCTTTTTCTAATTAATTTGATCATTCTCCATGGCAGGTGGTTTCCTTTCTTGAAAAGTAGAGCTTGTTGTGAGGCATGTGGAAATTTGAAGGCAGCTTTTTTAGTTGCAGTGGTGAGTTTTTAATAGCTAAATATAAATATATCTAAAAGTTGATAAATTAACAAACAAAAAGCCTTCTGATGTTTCTAACTAACAAATGGAAAATTGGAATATATTAAATGATATAAAACATGTTGTTGGCAATGGCATGGTTGCAGATTTTTCTTACATTTTGCACACTGGTGACACTCTACTTTGCAAAAGAGATCCCTTTAGCACCAAAACAGCATAAAAAGTTATCAGATTCTGCTCCTCTTCTTAACAATCATCAGCAGACTGGGTCTGAAAATTCAGAGTCAAAACCTCTGACAAATTCGGTTGACCATAAAGTTGCTAAATCATCTGAGGTTGAAGAAGAAGAAGATCAAGTTGAAACTTTTAATGATAATCCAGGGGCAGTTTTGGTCAACTTGTTGACCAGCTTACGCCATTTACCAGTAGGGATGCATTCAGTGCTTATTGTGATGGCTCTCACATGGGTAAGTTTTCAAAATGAAACTAAGGGTAAAATGGTCATTTTGCTTTTGTTTACTTTTTTATATATGTACATGTGCAGTTGTCATGGTTCCCTTTTTTTCTTTTTGATACGGATTGGATGGGGAGAGAGGTTTATCATGGGGACCCAAAAGGGGATGCTGCTAAAGTTCAAGCTTATGATGAAGGTGTTAGAGAAGGTGCTTTTGGTTTGCTATTGAATTCAGTAAGAACAAGAGTTTTACATTTTTATTTCTTTTTTCAAATTCTAAATAATCACTAATTCATATTTATAATCATTTGTCTGACCATATTACGTATTGGGCAGGTGGTTCTTGGTATCAGCTCTTTCCTGATTGAGCCAATGTGTAAGTGGATGGGTTCAAGATTAGTGTGGGCGTTGAGCAACTTTGTTGTGTTTGCCAGCATGGCAGGGACAGCTGTCATTACCTTAATTTCTGTTAAACAATCTCGAGGAAATCAAGAAATTGTTGGAGAAAACGAGGCAATCAAGAATGCATCTTTGGTTATTTTCGCCATTCTTGGTCTTCCCCTTGCTGTAAGTATACACTCCAACACCAATATTATAAATAAATCATCTTCTTTATTATAATTTTTTTAATTTATAAGTAAATGTAAGTATTTTACTATGTTTTAACTTGTGTGTATGTTGCAGATCACTTACAGTGTTCCCTTCTCTGTCACCGCAGAATTGACTGCTGATACAGGTGGCGGCCAAGGTTTGTACCAAAATTTCAAGCATATTTTATTTTTTGATTATTATAATAATAATTGAGTAGCTAAGTCAATAAATAGTTGCCCATAAATATTAACCCAGTTTGACTCATTCACCTATAAATGGGTAAAATTTGTCACCTATAAACGCAACTTAACATATGCTGCTTATTTTATTTGTTTGTTTGATGTGGCATTCAGGATTGGCAATTGGAGTTCTAAATCTTGCAATCGTTATACCTCAGGTAGCTTGATTCTTTCTTAATGGTTGTTTTCTTTTCTTAGCTAATTGTGCTATAATGATGAACAGATGGTGGTGTCACTTGGTGCGGGCCCATGGGATGCGTTATTTGGTGGAGGGAATGTTCCAGCATTTGTTCTTGCTTCTGTAAGTGCCCTTGCTGCTGGTGTATTTGCGTGGCTAAAGCTTCCAACTCTCTCAACCAACTCTTACAAGCCAACAGGTTTTCATTTTGGGTGAAAACAACTTGATGACCCGAATGTAGGAGGTTTTCAAAGCCATTCATAAGATTCATTCATTTTTCACATGTTTTTGGGTTTGTACCTTTATACATACGAGCACTGTATATCGTTTATAGTGAGAAAGAAATTATAGCGTAGGACAACCAATTAATGTTCTTTTTGACAATCATGTAATCTATAAACTAAACCCACTACATTATTATATCCATGTTAACTTTTTGGTGTAAACTAACTCTTGTAGTATTCTTTGGGAATAATATGAAGTATGAGAAAGATAACCTCGAGATTTAGTAAGACGTGTGTTTATGTTGTTTTATATAATTGTTATGCATGTTTAAAGTTGTTTTAAGAATTGTAATTTGAGGCTATGAGCTTATTAAAAAGAATTGTGTTCTATAAAAAAACTACTATTTAATTTGATTTACTCTTTTCTATAAAAATATATAAGCAAGTCGTAAGATTGCTTCAGATAGATTTGTATTTTATGGAATTTCACGTGGTCCCCACTCCGGGCCATAAATCGCACCCAAAGTCCCAAACTAATCCATTTCAGTTTTCCCAGCTTAATTGGCGTAGAACTTGCCACGTGGCTTCTTCACACCATCATTCCACTTCAAACTCTTCAAAACTGATCACCATTCAATCCTTAAAGGATAAAACCACCACATCCATCATGGCAACGGCCGCCACTGCTACGACCACGACCACCACCCGCCTCCTATCACCGACCACCACCTCCATCGCCCATCAAACCCTCCGTTCCACCTTATCCTCCTTCACAAAACCCGCATCCCTTAAAACTCTCAGACTATCCACCAAACTCCACGTTTCTTCCCCTACCGACAAACCCATCTCCACCACCACCACCACCAAACCCACCCAAGAAACCATCTTTTTCGACGGCGGAGCACACTACGGTGACCTCGTAGCAAATCTCCTCCTGGGTTTCACTCTCGTTTGGCTGCCACTCACTCTAGCCGCAGTTCTCAGAGGGTTTTTCTTGCGATACAGATTCACAAACTTACGGGTCACCGTGATATCCGGGTTAACGGGTCAGGACAGGAGTGATTTTTCATATAAAGTCGTCAAAGATGTTCAAGTTGTACCAAGGTTTATTGGTGAATGGGGTGATGTGATCATCACTTTAAAAGATGGAACTAAGGTTGATTTAAGAAGTGTCCCCAAATTTAGAGAAATTGCCAAGTATTGTTTATCAATGGTTGAGAAAAAAGGTGCTGATGAATTGGAAGAGAGCGGTGGGGCTAAAGGGTTTTGATTTTCGATTATGCACACCACCTGTTCGATTATATGACACTGGGAAGTTGAGGTTTGAATCTGGTTTGTGGTGGGTATTCTTTGATCAGAAGAGGTATGTACATTTTCATAATTGCAGTTTGATCAAGATTTTCGGTTATATATGGATGGTATAATTTTATGTTTAAGAAGTTACTTGGTGTTGAAATTTGATGTACATTTGATATTTTAGTAATTGAAGGTATCAAAATTTTCTGTAATTTGCGTTTGCAGAAAAGAAATTTACCATTTAATTTTTATCTCCAATTTACAAATTTATTTATGCTTGTTCACGTACCCCACAACTTTCTAATGATGAGGATACATTAGATAGCAACAACAAAGCCCTCTACAAATATCCACACATGATCACACCGGTAATTGGGTGCTAGCCCAGAGATAGATGGAAGAGGCCTATATCCCTATTTTGACTTTTAAATGACAGTGGAGAATTCGGACCCTAATTGTACGTTTATTCAATAAATCTTATTAAATAAATGTTGATCATTCATTTTTTTTTTTTTTTTTTGATGATTAGAGAATTTAGTGGTAACATTTATGGAATAAACACACAACTACTTTTGAAAGTTTAAAGCTACTACTATTGCTAAAGACTTCGAAAATTTAGCCATGACATATGTCATAACACTTGCATTATAATATAGCAAGTATATCCAAATCCCATTTGGTTTGTTTATATCTATGTACTATCATACTATGTCCTTGCATTTTGAGGCTTATTACATACAACATGGGCTTCTTTTTCCTAATGGACTTTTAACTCCACAAAGCCTATTGGATGCATTAATTTGACCCAAGTCTTCTCCACTATGATGACCCATTGGGCTACCATACCCTTATAATTATAGTAAACCTAAAAGCCACAAACAATTGGATTTAGCTTTTCCCTTTTTCCATGTAATATGACTTCTATCATTAAGAAGTTTAAACCAATCTTTTGGTTGTTTTCCTTTATATATAGTCTCACAACAAGCTGGACCATAATTCCCTTTAGGCCCGTTTGTTACACAACATTACAAAATATAAAATATTGTATTTTATTTGACATGCATTAAAACTAGACCGGGTGTTAAAAGAGAACAAAAGTTAACAGTGGTAGTATGCATATCATTATCACGTATTGTGGAGGGAAGTATAGGTTTACATGCATCAATGACTTGTAATCCTATACATTAAGTAGTTGTACTTATGTAACATTATCAAAATACATAACAGTTTTATGTGTCAGTGAGTAGTGATGGAAGCCTGGAAGGACCCTTTAATTTGAGAGGTTGGAAAGGAATCTATTTGAGTACATTCACTTGTTATTATTGACTGACTTCACCATATATATATATATATATATATATATATATATATATATATATATATATATATATATGCAATATCTTTTCCCAAGTACATTCCCTCTTAGCTAGCCAAAGGACAATCATTCTCCTCCAACTCATAAAAAACAAATTTATCAACATTTTAAAATAAAACCAATCTTTATAAAAAAAAGTTTTTCTTCTTAATACCATATCATTATGTCCGAAAAACGTCGCGTAAAATGTAATTCAGATATATATTAACGAACTAGATGAGCCGACATAAGAACACAAAGCAGCATAATCCATATTGGAATTGGAACTTTTTATGTCAGTTGTTGAAACTTGAACTCTTAAAATAATCAATTTGTGACCATTTTAAAATAAGAATTTTTTTTTACAAAAGGGTTATTTTTCTTGCTAATTCTAAGTTGCTCCACAGAGTTCTGTCCTAATAACATCATGTCAGACGTAAATCAGATATACGTTATCCAACTAGATATGCTCACATAAGAGCCAAATGTTAACAAGAACCCTAATCCATATTGGAATTCAAACTCATATCAACTCTTAAAACAATCCATTTGTGACCATTTTAAAAATAAGAATAGATTTCTACAAAAAAAGGTTAATTTTTCTTGCAAATTTTAAACTAGTCCACATGGTTCTATCTTGGAATTGAAACTCCATATTGTTGTTGAAGTTTTTGAGGAAGCATTAATTATTTATGCAAGCATACAACCTTGGAAGTGTGTTATGTTGTGGGGGCTTAAAATAAGACAATTTTATTAACATTAAAAAAGGGTGGCAGGAGTAGGAGACACCATGGATGCTTTTGATCTGTATTTTGAGTGATTCCATGGTTTCTTTATCTGCCATTTGTTATCATACAAGTTATGATGCATGATGGGGATTAAAAAAAGAAGGATCCTAGACGGTGGTGTCTATTCAAAGTGTGGTGGCAGGTGGTGGCTCCGCCTTACCCCTTCCTCTCTTTATTGAAATATGTTAAAGAGAAAGAAGAGGGCCTAATGGTTGCATACTTGGTTTCTTCTTTTTTCTCTTTAGAACTTTGCAGGCTGCAATGGGTATGTTCCCCTTTTTAACCCGAACCCACCTCCAAAATGAGTTTCTTATAAAATGGGTAAATGATTTATGGTAAACTATATATATAAATCTTTTCATTTGATTTAATACAAAAAGAAATGAATAACTTACTAGAAAAAATCGAGGAAATAAAGTTTTCTTTTTTAATTACGTTTTAACCTTTCTACGAGATTTTAGTTATTTATTATTTCTTTCATTTCTTAAAATATACTTTTATTTTCTTAAATATTTTAAAAACATCATTTATCAATAAAGAAAAGAGAAAATATCCATAATAACCACTTTTTAAATGTTTTTACCACAAAAGAGTAAAAATGATCGTTTTTAACCACAATTTTCACAAAAATGCGTCGTGGTCTGCCAAAGATGACGTCATCCACCAAAGATGACATCATGTGCCAAATTATAATTTTTTTTTGCCAAAACGATGTGGTTATGGGGTGTTGACTGTGAAAATCCTTGGTTGACTGCGTATGCTGATGTCATATGTAATTTTTTTTTCTCATGTATTGTTTTATTATTTTGACTGCGAAAATCAGAATTTCTACGAAAATTCATACATTTTAAGAGATTTACCTTATAAAACAAAAAGGTTCCTATTATTTCTTATTTATGATACCAACATCCATGGATAAAAGTGTATTTGTATGATACAATTGCTACATAGGATTCCTAATATTTATTTATTTATTATATATTTATTTATGTTTTATAACTTTTAGGAGAGCAGTAAAAGATGACTCAAAATGAGGGTGTAAAGATGGAAAAAGGTAGTTAATAAAAATAAAGAAAAAGATATAATATGCAGAGAGATAGCAACAGTAATAGTATATATCTACTGCATACTATGACTTCAAAAAGGCAACTCCAATGTCCACAAGAACCCCACCCCATGGATCCAAAGCAAACCTAATTTTTATGTATACTGTTTACGTTCTTTTTCGTATGCAAACAACATAAATTATCTTGTTCTTTTCTCTTTACAAATGTCAAAAATAATTTTCATTTATTTAATATCTTTTCATGGTAATAGAATAAAGGGTTAATTTTTTCAAGGTGATAAAATAGTATTGAGTTTGCTTTTTATGTAATTTACTTTTTATTGTATTTAATTAATATGATAATTTTTTTCTTCTTATATTATTATAATGCATTTCGATTGGATAATAATATTAGATGTCAGCGTCAGATAAACCTAAATGAACAAATTTTGTCACACTGAATATCATATTGAGTACCATTAGGATTCGATACTAGTTTATACAGTTGAAATATACCTTAATAGTGTAATGAGATCCTAAAAAAAGTTTAGTCACCTATTAACCCTAAATTAAACATGTTGATAAAGATCAAAACAGGTTAGATAGAATCTGGCTATCAAAAGAACATGTTCGTATATGTAATTGAATTTTTTTTGGAGCATAATCTCTGATATATAATTTAGTGAAAAGATTTAAGAAAAAGTGGTGTGTACTCTTGTTTGTTTGTTGCTTGTGGATGTGGGGAGGAGATTAAAGTACCAAATTCTCCCTTTTATGATTTCACTTTGTATTATAAGTCCAACTTAGAATTAGAGATAATATAAAAGAGGGTCTCGAGGGAGCGCCTACTGCTAACCTACATTCTTCTATTTGGGCCCTTCATATTAATATACAATTAGAGATTATCATTATTATCGTTAGATTTATTATTTTTATGTGATTATGATGAGAAAAGATATGTTCATACAATCATATCACGTGAATAATTAATGTATCAGTTTTGATATAAAACATTATTGTTATAATGGGTTAATATAGCTTTCAGCCAACTAACTATTTGAAATATCTATTTTGTTAAAACCTTGGCTTTTGTTTTTAGTTCCATTTATGTAAAGCAATTGACTGAAAATCACTACTAATTACCTTGAGATGATGAAGAGGAGTAGAAGTTCATGTTTTGCACTTGAGATTATTTATTGGAACAATTTACATGTCAATCTAACCTGTTAATGTAATCATTTACAACTAGACCTAGTCATAGTTATGCTTTTATATTTCCATGGTACTCAAGTTTACTTGGTACACAAGTGTACATTTGAGTGTAATGGTATTTTTATTAGACTATAGGTTATTACACACAATAGTTAGGTTTATTATTTGTGTATATAATGAACCATTTGTTGGAAACAAAATGGATTTACCTATTTTCCAAAAGACGGTTTTCCCAATTTTGAACATAAATTTATAACTTGATTCATTATTGAAATATATAATTGTTATACATTTGTGTGTCTCCTCCATGATATCTCAGTTTTGGTATATTGGATGCTGATAATAGAATTAGGATGAATGAGAAACTAATATCTAAAGTGAGGTAGTTGTAAATATTGGATAAAGAGGTTGAATGAGTTTAAGCCATCCCACATAGGTGGAAGGAGGAAAAAGAAGTGAGTTTATAAGTACAAATGCCTTTAAGCCTTTTAAGACTTATATCACTATGAACCAAAATGAACTGATTCACTCAACTCATATATAATCACTCAAGATCACATGTGAATGTACCACCA